CTCGCTGCGGGTGGAATCCTAGGTCCCCAGAATCGAGCCCCTGAAGCTCTACCTGCACCCGCCGTGCCAGATGTCTATGACCCGGACCTTAGGGTACCCTGTGGACCCCCACCACCTCACCCTGTACGTATAGAGGTTGAGAATGTGTTGCAGCACACCAGGCCTGCCGTTGTCACTACGGTTGATTTTCCTGTCTGGGTAGTAGCTGTGGGACACCAGCCAGAGGCCCTACAACTGCAGATCAACATTCCGTGCGACATTGAAGACGCCATTGATGTCGTAGAGAGATCTTCGCTTCTCAGCCATATACCCTTTTGTGACCGGGTCATTCCCATCAGACCGCAACCTTTTCCGGCATGCGCTGCCTTCGTGCGAGCTCCTGACTGGGTCGCCTACACGGCGCACTCACTCATCTGCATTGACTTGCGTGATATGCATCCGGAGGGTAAAGGACCTGTGATTGCAGCGTTTGTAACAAGGCCGACATGCCTCGCAGAGCTCTGCCGAGAAGCAGGCTTCTATGGGACCGAGCCTGCAGATGTCTACGTTGGTACAGATCCTATCCCCATAGAGGCTGAGGAATCAATTGCGCTCTCCAGCGGTTGTTTGGTCACGTTTATGCGCACTCATCGATGTCCCTTCGTTGCTAATGATCTACAGTACCGTTTGCAGTACCCTGAGATCTGGGCGATCCCAGCACAATTCCCAAAGCAATGGAACCAGCGCTCAGCACTGTTACTGCTGCACAGTTCCGGACGATACTTGCTGGGATCTAGGCCACAGAACGTTGCCCTTGATGTTGCGGCTGCTGGTTTTGTTGGGGTTGATCGTGCCGAGGTAAATTTCCATGCCCCGCGCCATCCTTCACTACAAAGATTTACCTATCGAGCCGCGGAGGTTCGAGGGGTCATTGCTGTTGTTGCGCAGTCAGCAGCTGAGCAAATCGTTGTCTTTCTTGACATGCGGCAGCTTGGTGGCGGAGTGCGCTTCTTGGCGCTGCCCCAGCCGACCATTCCTCTTGATGCCTTGCGCCGACTTGTCAGTAAGCAGCCTCCCCCTTCATGGGCTCTTAGGATCCTCGGTGGACGGCGTCGGAGGGACCGACTAGACCTTCGACATGGTGATACCTTAATTTTGGGGTTCCAATATGTCGAGCCTGATTCGGACCCAGCCCCTTCGCCCTATGACCCTACTACCGATGATAACGACTCGAGCCCGTCGGACAGTGGTACAGAAAATAGTAGCAGGGGCCCCAGCTCTAGTGCCACTACCCGTTCCAGGAGCCGCACCAGACGCCACAGAGGCCGACGCGATGTCAGGTCATCATCGGACAGGTCCTACCGAGGTGGTTTTGGTACGGACACGCTTGCTCTAGCTCGTGGTGCCCAGCAGGTTGTAACTTTGTTCGGTCAGCACTACGCGAGGAAGGATTCAAAACTGTGGAGATGGCGCCTTCTGTCGGCACTGCGTGGGTTGTGGGCTGCAACAGGCCAGTTGCCCGTGAGCTTTGGCAGCACGCCTCTCCCGCCAGTGCTTACGATAGGGCACAGCATGAACACTGTCCAGCGTGTAGCTAGCGGTGTGCTTGAGCCTTTCCTTGCAGATGTTTCGATTCGCGCCTTCCGTGACAGTAAGTCTGCTGTCAACTCGCGTGTTGTGGCGCTTTCTGCCTTCGTGTGTCGGCTGCTTGTCGAGCCTGCTTGCACCAGCGAAGTGGGCAGGCAAGCCCTCACCGACCTTAGTCTACTCACTGTTGAGCTGGGTGGAGAATGGCCATACCACCCGAGTGACGATGCCATGCCCGGCATTCCTGGTGCACTTAGTGAGTCATCAGAGGCCGAAAGTGATTTGGCTGTCAGGTGGGCGACTTTTGCAGTTTTCATTCCGGACTATGGTGCTGAGCAGCTAACCGTTGCGGTCCAGTTTCCGACCACCACCCGAGATGTTGCTCCCCTTGTCCAACAGGCCAGAGACCCTCAGCAAGTCATGCGGTTCCCTTTCCTTCTTCCCGTAATTCCACAGCCGGTTCGCGGCACGGGTATCTATGTCGGGCTCCCACATTGGAATCCCGATGCCAATATAGTGTGTCTGGACCTTACTGCTGTTGATGGCCGTCATTATGCAGCAGTTGCACCGACATACGCTGACCGTGACATTCTATGCGATCTCGCAGACCTCCCGAGTGCAGCCGATTTTCATATTTACGTCGGTGTTGGCGAGGAGCCCCTCGCTGGCGAAGGTACTGCACATCTAATCCCAGGTCTAGGTATCACGTTCGTCCCTAGATATGCTAGCAGCCCCGAAACTTCGGATTTCTCTCGGCTGCTCCTGCATCCGCGACACTGGAGCTCGGACCCTGTTTGGTCCCCCCCAAGTGCTGCAGGCATTTATTGCGTCGTTCAAGGCTTCAGGCATCATCGCTTCATTGCTGACTTGCGCGACCCAATGCACTATTGGCAGCAACTCGCCAGGGCCATAGGCACAGACCGAAGGCCCGCCATTATTTCCCCTGCAGTGCCCCGTGTTTCCGACATAGTTATCGACGGCCTCCCCTGTACGACAGCCATCGCTGTTGAGGTGGTGGCCCCAGTCGGTGCCAGCCCACAGCTCGTTTTGATAGATTGTCGGCCCCTTCTGCAGGGCTGGATGACGTGGACTGCACATGGGCATCTGCTTGTCGCTGACGACCTGTTACAGACTCTCCAGCCAACCCTGCCCTTAGGTTGGGGTGTTGAGCTCTTAGGAGCGCGTAGGGAGGGTCAACACTTGAGAGTCGGGTCTGGATATGTCCTCGTTGCCATAGTTGTTCGGCGGCCGATGCTACTTGGCGACCTGCGCCCTGCTGCCGAAGCTGCCCGAGACCCACATGGCCCAGCCGCGGACGGTGGCGACTTCCTACTCATACCACGCCCTACTGTTGAAGATGCGGTGCACACGTGGCAGGCACAGATGACAGATAGTCTTGCCCTGGGTGCTCACCCTGCTGTCACCGCTGAGGCTGATGCAGTGACACAGACCCTTGTTGCGGTGCCCGAATACCTGTCGGAACTCTATGAGCTGCCTGTCCCATATCCTTGTGATGTTGGTGATGTTTTCCAGCTGTTGCTGGCGCACAGGCGTGCGTATGACCGACGGCGGTTCCCGGGGTTGCATCCTGTTTTTCCGCAACCAGATACACGCTTTGTCGTCTTCATCGCTGTGCCTGCCTGGCACACAGCCCAAACCACTGTTCTTATTGATGCCAGGTCACTCGACGGCAGACTCTTTGCAGTGAATGTCCCCAGCCGGGTCAATGCTAGTTCAGTCTTCACTATTGCAGATTGTCCCGCGGACCTCTCTTTACAACTGTATGTTCGCGATGTCCCATGGCCCCTGCACACACAGGACACTGTCCAGGTCGAGCATGGGGACCTGCTGACTATTGTGCCAGACGTCGCCCCTGCGCCTCCCAGGCCGATACTTACAGACATGCTGCAGACAGCCGAAGGCAGGACACAAGATGATGCATTCGCCGGGGATTACGGGGATAGAGTGTGGTTGGTCACTGATCTAGAACCAATGCTCTTTGAAGTTAACCGGCGGCGTAGGGAACACTTCCGCACAGATGTTGCCGCCGCCTTAGGTACCACCTCCGAAAGGTTATGCCTTCGTCCGGCAGTGCCTCCGGTCCGCGATTTTGCGGATCACGGCAGACTTGCACGCAGTGTCCTGCTTGCACTGGAAACTCCGTTTCCAGACGAATACGAACTCGGCCCAACGACACCTTTTCTGCTCGATTTGCGCCCCATTCAACTGGGCTTCATGGCTGCTTATGCCCCGGCGGGCGGTTATGATTTTGCAGCACTTGCAAGGCGACTACAAGCTTTCGCCTCCCCTGGCTTCAGCGTTACTGTTTGGACTACAGAGCCCGACCAGCAGCTGCCGCTGTCGGTTTTGCATGTCCGGACAGGAGAGGTCTTCCGTGTTGAATACCTATCCCTTGCCAGTACCACTGCAGCCGATACTCGCTGGCGTTCAGGCAGTTCTGATCAACAGGTCACCTCAGGACAACATGGCCCCCTTTCGGGACAACAGGCTGCTACCGCGAGACACAGTTCTGCTGCATCCGCCTCTGATGCGATTGGAGGCTCTATTGCCCACCAGAGGAATGACAGCCGGCACAGCAGCTCTAGGAGCAGTCGAGGTCCGCCACTAGGTATCGGCCTCGCGCTTCTTCCCGTCCTTGTTGGTTTCTGCCTTTGTTGTAGGCTTGGCGGTTTAGGGGTTGGGATTCTGCTAAGTTGGCAGGGACACTTTAGGCTAGGCCTAGTCCTCTGTCTAACGTGCCAGCTTCAATCCGTGACAGCCGTACAACGCCAGCAACCGGGCGTAACTCTCCGGCCGGGCGGCATTGAATCCACTGCCTGCCCACCCACTGTCCGCCTTGTCCCTACGCCATGTAGGGCCCTGGCAAAGTCGGTCGAGCTACAAGCACAAACTGCCATGCATGACGGCGCCGCAAGGGACACCTCCGATAGCAGGGATGAGGAGGATCTGTTGCAAGACCATCACCGCCATGTAACGCTTCTTGATGAAGCCTCCAGCCATTCAGACTATTGGGCCTTTACGGCTGTTACTCTCCTAGAGGTCTTGCATGAGCATGCAGAGGAACAGGCTCGTGTTGCCCTTCAACACGCCGCGCCTGCTCCTATCTCCCTCGCTGCTGCTCTCGAGGTCACCCCCTTCCAGCGCTCATGCATGGAGCTCCAGGATATTCTTCCACACAGTGTGCAGGGCACAGACGAGCAGCCAGATTGGCTTGATGCAGATTTCTCACACCTCCTTAGCTTTCCGCGACTCACCCTGGCACAACGCACCGCGTTTGTCAATATCCATAGGTGGAAGGATGCCAGCCCTGGTGCCACCGCGACCGGTATTGACATCTTTACAGATGGACCCGCCTCGGGACACAAAGACAGGGACGACATTCGGCCTGCTGGATGGGCATTTACAGTGTGGTTTCGTACCACCGGGCGCAGCTACTTTTATGGAGCCGCGAGTGGTACTTCCTCTCTGCGGGGAACGCCCTACCACATTGGCGAGACGTGTGATACACCACTGCAATCAGAGTTGCTGGCCATCTGTTGGGCTCTTATTTGGGCCCTCGAGTATGGGGAGTGCCACCAGCTCCCGCTTCATCTGCACTATGACTGCCAAGCAGCAGGTTCTGGAACTTTTGGAGAAGCTAGGCCTGCTTCTGTTATCCGGGGAGATGATACTCCCGGCCTCAGCCAGTTTGCGGCTCTCCTCCGTCAATGTGTGACCCAAAGGATGTCTCTCGTTTCCAGCTACATCCCGGGTCATGCTGGCTACATTGGCAATGAGCTCAGTGATGGTTTTGCGAAGTATGCGCGCACTCACCCTACCCCGGATGAGGAAAGCCTCTTGCCGGTGTGGCCTGGACGGCTCGCACTTCACCCGTTAGCTGAGTGGGCGTGGATGTGTATCGGGTGCCACGCTGACCTACCTACGCCTTATGCCATGGAAGCCACGGCTGCCTGCATGCAAGCGGGCTGTACTTCTACGCGTGCTACGCCAATTCTTGGAGTAAGCCAGCCCAGTGTTGCAGATACGCAGGTCCAGTTTTGCCTCCTGTGTATGTCCTACAACGTCCTCACACTGTCTGATGGTCCCCCTGGCCGAACCGTCGAAGCTCGAGGGGCGGGACAGGAAATTGGTATGCGCATCAAGGGCAAACGACACATGATTGTCGACCAATGCGTCGACGTGGGAGTGCACATCATAGGTCTCCAGGAAACCCGACTTCAGGAGAGAGCCACCCTTCCCGACGCCAGCTACATCATGTTGCATACTGCAGCCACACATAAGGGCCATTTTGGCTGTGCCTTATGGCTTAGCAAGGTCACTCCATATGCCTATCAGCACGGCAAGCCCTTGTACTTTGAGGGCCATCATTGCACGGTTGCGGCTCACTCGGCACGGCATCTCCTTGTGCATATTGTCGCGCCGCATTTTTGCTGTGCCGTGCTTGTTGCGCATTCGCCTACTGCCCCAATGGACAACGAAGGGGTAGTCACTGCATTCTGGAAAATGTGCAGTCAGGATGTACGGCGACTTCCCAACGATGCTCCCCTCCTTGTCCTTGCGGACGCTAATTGTCGGGTTGGCAGCCTCGCCAGCCCAGCCGTTGGTACCCACGCCGCTGAGGTTGAAACTCCAGCGGGCAGTGCGTTCCACGACTTCCTTAGCCGCCACTTGTTATGCCTCCCTGCCACTATGGACAGTTGCCACAGCGGGCCATCCTGGACGTGGCGCTCTGCCCTTGGAGACAGGCACCGCATTGACTTTGTCGCTGTTCCACAAGCATGGCTGCCTTTCGAGCCTCAGACGTGCACGTGGACAGCGTTTGAAACCATGCAAAAACGGGACGACCATGTCCCTACGTGTTTAGAGTGTACCTTTCAACGGAGAGTATCGGAAGGACCGGGCAGAGCTGCAGTGTTTCGTAGGCGCGCCTGTCGGCCTAACGACTTGGACCCACAGTTGAATCGTGACCTCTTTCACAGGCTCCTCCAACAGCAGCCTTTGCCTGCATGGGATTGTGATGTTGACGCACGCTTTGCCAGCTTTGTACATAGGTGGACTGCGGCCGGTCGTGCTATCAGCCCCACCGATGTAAGGCCTCCACGGCAGTCATACCTTACGGAACATACCATGCAGCTCGTGGCTGTTCGCAAAGGCCTCCGAGTATACCTCCGCGATGAAGAACGTGAGCTCCGCCGTCGCTATCTGCTTATCGGTGTGGCCTCCTTCATCCTCAATAGCAGAGGTCTTGTTGCGGCGGATGGTGCCAGACGCCGCGCGCATCATTGCCTGAGGGCAATCCAGATCAGCATCGCCAGGGCCTGGGCTCTCTTGGATGTTACCTGCAGGACGCTTCGCCAAGCTGTCCGTGCTGAGCGAAACCTCTACTTAGATCGTCTCGTCAAAGACGTAGGCCTGGCCGATGTAGGCTGTCCTAAGAAGCTCTTCAGATGCGTACGGAAAGCCTTTCCGAAAGCCGCTGCCGCTCGACGCTCCAGTTTTCAAGCTCTCCCTGCAGTAGAGCTCGCTGATGTTAGTCTAGCCACTAGCAGGGTGGATAGGGAGCAACGGTGGCGGGAACATTTTTCCGATCAGGAATCTGGGACTCCTGTCACCACTGCAGAGTACGAGCAGCTTGTCACAGCAGCCGATCGTGCCAAGTGTAGGTCCCCTCCCGTTTTCGACCCGCACATGCTCCCCAGCCTATCTGCTTTAGAGGCTGCCATTCTCGGCCTCAAGAGAGCCAAGGCTGCAGGCCCGGACGGAGTTACCGTCGAACTTCTCCGTATAAGTTCTTCTACAGCCGCCAGACACTTGTTCTCCTTGCACCTGAAAAGTGTGCTTGCAGTACGGGAACCCATAGAATATAAGAGGGGGGCCTTAATGACCCTTGCCAAACGG